CCTACCTGGGGGACGCTTGCCGCGGGGTCGCGGTCCGCGGGAACGATGAACCTGTCTCCGCCGGGACGATGAAGATCGCGTGGCGGAACTCGGCCCCAAGCTGGTCCCGCGCGTCAGGGTGTGTATACCCAGGCGCCCACTCTGTGTTGACGGGGGCCCTGTATGTATCTCCTCTCGCTGCTCGATTCAACCGCGTCTACGAGCGGTCCCCGAAACCCGGATGGCAGCGGGATTCAAGCAGACGCCCTCGCCGGCCCCGAGGACACGACGCTCCGCGTCAGACCGGAGACCGCGTGACGATGCCGCATTTAACAATAGAAAACGGAGCAGCACTCATAGCAATAACCTCACGGACGCCATGTTTCGTACGACGGTCCCGCCATTGACGAGCGACGTTCCCATAGACGGCCGCCACACCGATTGAATCTCTGCGCTTCCGACGGCGGCGCCATCTCCTCGAAATCACGTGTTCAACCACTTTGGCGGGAAATTCAAGTGACGAGATCGAACGCGAATTCCGATATTATAAATGCACATACAAAGTGGAGTTAATATAAATGTAAATAATGAATTCTAATGACACTTTTCCATGTCGGTGCCTCGAAATAATTTCAAACAGCATACTTTATTAATAATTATTTGATTCTGCTATAGCAATTGAACTTTAGATATTTACAAAGATATCTTGATATATTGATATATTTAAATTACGTGATTACGTAATCGATTAAATTAAGTAACTTTGGGATCAGTTTCGCTTTTACATATTATAGAAATGCATCCGCCTTTAATATAATTATCTGCTTTAAATATAAATAATGCGTTTTAATGTTAATTTTCCATTTTTGTCGGTGTAACTCGAATCAATTTCAAACAATTATTTGTTCTTGCTATAGCAATTGAACTTTAAATATTTACAGAGATATTTTGATACACTATGATATCTAGATTACACAATGAATTGATGACGTAATCGATTAGATTAAATAACTTCGAGATCAGCCTCGGTTCTGCATATTATAGAAATGCGTCTGCCTTTTGGTACATGTCGTCCCTCAAAGTACGATTCCTCAGACTTGAGGATTTCGTGATTGTATTTGTACCTCGCAACGCCACTAAAAATGATATTTATGAAATCTCTCGATAATAATTAAGGAAAGCCACGATAAAAATTATGAATAAATCGAACCTCATGATGTATAACGATCTCCTTGGCAATAGAAAACACGCGACACATTCCTTTTCATGTCCTTCCATCGTTAATCTCATTACGCTGTCACTCAGCAAACTCAATCCTGCAATAATACTTCCGCAGAACTGTAAAATTTTGTAATACATTTGTAGAATTTGAACAAATCGTGTTAAAGATATGTAAAATCTTGTTGAAAGTGACTTCAATCAGAACTACTTCTGAATTCTATTAGTAATTAATTTAATTGGTAGAAATTGTTTCAATTTCTCTCTTATAATCTTTTCTTTAAATAATAAAAAATTGATTTTTATCCAAATTAACAAAATAGGTATAAAGAGCAAAGTGAATAGTAAAAATAGTTCTTGAAGAAAAATAATGGGTCATTACTCTAATACTGTCAATATGCGGCTTTATCCAGCCTTCAGGAGCTAAGTCTAATATATGTACGAGTGAAAGCTGTATCATTTCTGGTGAGAATGCTTTTCTACGGACTCTGTCAAGAATCTGAGAGCTATCTTTGCTCCACGTCTTCCATTCGGTTTCTCTATAGCCATGTATTGCCTGCAAAGATTTAAAATATTGACAATTCAAGACAAAATCTAAATATAGAAGTACAATGATATTCAATATTTTACCAACATTGTCCCAATGGGAAAATTCATAGCGCAGGCGTTTCATATAGGGATCAACCTCTTGTATCAGGATATCTTCCTCTTTTTTGCTGATAAAGTTCGGTAGAATTTTCATGGTGTCGTACAGCTCTACTCTCCAATCCTTAATCGCGTTATTACTTGATATTGTTTTCTCCGAATTGGAATTGATATTATGTTTGGAGGTCGAACAATAAAACGCTCTGTTTATATTGCGGAATAGGAAACGCATAGTTATCGCCATTTCCTAAATTGGAATCTTTTGATTAAATAATTAAAAGATCACATAAATTTGAGATTATTAGCTGTTTTAATAATTCTTGTTTATTTTTCACAAATCAACTTGTATTATAAGGTTATATATTTTTCACAGATCGCAAATAGAAAAGACTTCATTTCTTTTACAATTAAATATTTTACAGAAAAAGCGTAAAATTTAGTAATTATATACAGTTCAACACGTTTATTATTTAATTAAAATTGAAGATAAACAAAAATAAAAACTGTCCTAATTAGTAGTAAAATCATGTTTTATTTTGAATTGATTTCAATTATAAAATTAATTATATATTAAATAAAATTGAAAATAGTAAAATTTTATTTAAGTATTATGGTTTTTATTTATTGTATTGTAAGCCAGACTTAATGATATTTTTACATTGCAAAATATTGGGCATTCTTTGACATTTTGAGGTTAAGTCGTTTGCCAATTAGCATAATAAGCGCATACACGTGCTAATAAAACCAATTGTCTCCAATTCTCGTATTTTATTGGTGAAATTAATACACGTATAGACTCACCAGTAAGTGTATATAATTACTGATTTCATACTTTCACCCTAACTCTCAGACAAGCAAAGAGAAGTTCGTTAAGCGAGTTTGGTTACTTTATTAATCTAGCTATTTTGATATGTTTACAGATAAACTTAGAACGAATTATATGCAAAGATTCTTTTTTATCTTAATAATAAAGCTTGGTTTCATCAATGTATAACTTTCTAACATTCTTTCTGATGCTAAAAATTAGAAGGAATTATAAAGAATCTTTTTGATTCTAAAAATTTTAAAATTCTTTCTAATTTTAAGAATTAAAAAGAATCTTTTTCTAATTCTAAGTAAGTTAAACTGAGATTTTAAACTAAAGTTAGATTGAGAAATAAATCAAAATTAAATGATACAAAATGAAGGGAATTATGTAAAGACAGGGTTGACTTAACATTGACAATTCAACTATCCAACAAGCTGCAAGCTTGCGAGACATTAAAAAAAAAAGATGAGAATCAAATGAATGATATTTATTAAATCAATATCAATTTCTGCGCAGCAGTAAATACCGTGAGAGATCTCAGGAATTGTTCACGTAGTTGACTCGGTCTAGAAAATAGTTTCCTGATATCGAGATATTTAATGCTGCGTCCTTACATGTTTTATGAACATCTTTGCGATACCCTATCCCCGAAATACATATCGTCCATTTCTGCGTACACTGCAATGCACACGCGTTAATTTCTCTAGGCTGAGCAATCTAGACAATTTTTTATCAACAGCCGAAAGATACCATCTATAAATGGAGAAACGCAGTTGAAAGAGAAAATATAAAAGATACTTTTTCTCTGCAGTAAAATATACAATCAATTGTATAAATTATGAGCAAGAATTAGAGGCGGATAATTTATAATCAACCTTTATTTAGGAATATACTCTTTTCAAAATCAACTTCTAATCATTCTTCAATAAAAGTACGTGTGTGTAGGTCTTATGAATATGTAAGCTGTGTTATATAAAACTTCCACAATATAATTACATGAGTTTAGTCTGCAATGATGCAGCTATATAAAGATGGGAAAGTTTTTTCCTTTTAACAGATTAAGATTGCGATTACAACTCAAAGACTAAATATAGTTCTATCCTTCACTGCCCGATGTTAATGCACAATCAATAAGTTAGAATCGCGCGTTGCGCGACAACCTCAATGTTTATAAGCTAAAATCGTTACTGACATCAACATCAAAATTGAAAATCTGATAACGACGGACGCACGGATAAAAATCCAATAAAACTCAACAGTAAGTCGTAGAATCTCCAACTGTCCAGAGTAACTGCATGTGAATGTGACATCACTACAGTTGGAAAGTGTTCATTTGTTAAGCATTTCCGCCGATAATATTGTAATGCTAGCTTTCACTTCTACTTTTTTTTTGTTTCTCATCTTGTTAAGTGTGATATCATGGATATAGATTAAACCGTTGTACATTTTGGTTACAATTCAATATGCAGAAATTACAAATATAAAGTTTCTGTATAAATTCTGCAAATTAATATTCCTCTGCGTGTATTTAGGCGACTAGAATGTATGAATATGTGAAAAGTCGCTACATAAAATCGTCATATTCATCATATACATAATCACCGTATTCGCTCAACAAGGTGTTGTCACCCTCGATTTTGAGCTTGGCCTTTCCTTTCCCCTTGTTTTTTTTCGCCTTATCACCCTTCTCCATCTTCTGCTTTTCAATAAGTAAGTTGTCAACTATAGTTTTCACTTTTTTCAAGTAATTTGACGATACTAGAACAAAAAAATATTTTCAATATAAAATGCCTGTGAAAGAATCGATCGTTAACAAATATACTAACAATTAAGAGCAATAGACTTTATAAGTTCTTCTGCAAACGGTGGAAACTCTGCGTGTTTGTTAAATTGATTAATTTTTTGTGACAGTACTGCACCATATCGCTCAAATTCCTCTTTTGTATCTGGTACCATAATATCGAGCGATTCGTTTTGCGATACTTCTGTCACTCCTACAACACAAAATTGTCATGTAATAATGTACATACATATAATATTAATATATTTCTTATTAAATATATATAAGTAACATAATATTTTTCATATCAAGCTAATATGTATTAGATTTACTAAGATATTTTGTGAAAACTCATTGATAGAAGTTGCTCATGAGCATGTAATAATAAACTTTATAAAACTGCAGAGAGAAATGCATACTATTTTATATACTATTTTTAAGAGATATAAAGGTTTATATATCTG